AAGAAAAAAGAAACTCACCTTTCAGAGTCCTTAGGAGGACAGTTATCAGGCAGTTGAGCAGCTTGCCCAAAACCTGTTAGTAAAGGCAGAGGTGAGATTTGAACCTAGAATGTCCTCTGCATTCCACTGGCAGCTCTAAGCTGGGTGCAAGGCTTTGAGATTAATTTCTCCTTGTTTCATGCTCAGTGAGAGGGAAGTAACTGGCAGTGCAACCTTCGATTACAGCACACACGGACTTCACCTTATAGACTAACTGGAACCCAACCTTTGCCTCAAATGTCATTGAACCATGAACCCAGACTCAGACTCCAGCAAGCAGCGTTAGTCCTGGGAGAAAGTCATGCCATGAATAATGAAGGAATCTCACCTTTTCTTTTTCTTTTTTTTAAGATTTTATTTATTTATGAGAGAGAGAGAGAGAGAAAGCACACAGAGAGAGGGAGAAGCAGACTCCCTGCTGAGCAGAGAGCACAACATGCGGCTTGATCCCAAGAACCCTGAGATCATGACCTGAGCTGACATCAAGAGTCAGACACTTAACTGAGTGAGCCGCCCAGGCGCCCCTTGGCTTCTCCATGTTTGCCCAACGGATCCCCTGGCGGGCTTTCGGGGCAAACATTCTCTGGGAGCTTTCCCCACACTCGGTGCCATCAGAGTGGATGTGCCCATGGCTGAGCAGGAGGGAGGAGCAGGAGAAGCAGATGCCACATTCTGGGCAAGGGTAGTTTCCTGGGTGTGGGTGTGCACCTGTGAATGGCCTAGGGTGCCTGTGGAAGAAGCACCACGAACAGCCCCAGCACCACTAGGGCCTCTGTCACGCGTGGATAAGCTGGTGCTGGAGCTTTTCAGAAAGAGCACCCCATCCCTTCTCACCGCAGGCCTCCAGAACTGTAGGGCGTTCTCATAAAAAAGGGCTGAATTTTTTTCAGAGGGAAGCTGGCACGTCTCCCTGGTTCAAGACCTTACATATGGACATTTCAGTGGAAACATTTCTCAAAACAAAACAAAACAAAAAAAACCCCACACCTCAGTGCCTTTGGAGCACACAAAAACACCTGTTTTCATCCTAAATGAAAGGTGGCAGTCATTAAATTCTACAGAGGGCTCTAGGCAGCTTCCCATGGCAGGTATGCCCTGAGAAACAGGGGCAGGCCAGCGAACCAAGTGCACTTCCGGCCTCAGAAATGCACCATGCCTACTCTCTAGGCTTAAGTTAATTAGAAGGAAAAACTCACTTCCTTGGGCACACTAGCCACATTTCAAGTGCTAAATGGCCCCATGTGGCTAGTGCCTTCTGTGTTCGACAGCGCAGATAGAACATTCCCATAACTGAGGCAAGTTCCATTGGAAGCAATAATCTAAGTACCTAGAGGAAAGAAGGCAAAAGACCTCAAACCCCAACTGCTGCCTCGTCCCAACCTCTAGTTGGGGCCAGAGGGACCCGCTACCGTTGAACGCAAGGAAGCCTCCAGGTCTGGGAAAGAGAATTTTAGAAGAGAAGGTTCATCGGATTCTTAGGAATTGGGGTCCTTAAAGAGAAGGGTGCGGTGTAGGTGTGGCTGCGGGAAGAAAGGCCTGCCCTGGCTCGCTCCCAAGAGAGCCTGCAGTCCGCCTCAGCCCCACTCTCCTCACCTAGCCCAGATCCTGGGTGCCTCGCCCCCTCCTGCAGACGTTTGGTCTCCAGGCTCCACACCTCCTTCTTCCATTTCCAGGAGACGAAGGCGGCTTTGGGGCCTGCGAACCCTAAGGAGAAGAGGCCAACAACAGGCGGGGTGCGAGGATGGAGCCTAGACAAGGCGCTTCCTCTGCAGGGGTGGGTACAGCCTCCTGAACCCGAGCGGAGAAGAGCCTCCCCAACAACACAGGCGCATCCGGACCGATGCCGAATGGTACCCCTTTTCGCTAAAATGCGGAGAAGGGGAGCGCTGGGACCCTTCGATCATGCCCAGGTGGTCCGGGGTCAGGCGCATCACGTCCCTGCGGAGGGCCCAGTGCGTGGCACCAGGTCCACAAACCCTTCGCCCTC